CCCCCCCCCCCATGGTAGACCTAAAGTTGTGCCCTTGGCTTTTCTTGACACATGACATCACAGTGTGACACTATGTGTTTTCAGCATCAGACAAAAAAACAAAACCCCTTTAGGTGATCATGGCTGCATAACAAACCATTCCCCCCACCCTGCCTTCCTGTGGCATTGTCACCAGTTCATACCCTTACCATGGAGCTACRTGCTTCATTAAAGATCCTGCACACTGACTGAACTCTGATCTGGTAGACGTTACAAAGCTCTAAAAACTCACTTAAAAATATTCCTTCCCACTACATGCATGTGAAGTTCCTTCTTACATTAAATGTGCTGTAATACTAATTTAACACCCATCTGGTTGCTGACCTGCCTTTTAGTCTGTTTATTGATAATTTATTCTTTTTTTATTCTAGCCTTATTAGTTGTGAATTTATGCCGCAGATTTGATGTCATGTACTTCTGTGCCAATAAAGCTGCAATAAATTTAATCTAATCCAGTGATCGATTAGATTTTAGAATCACTTTAATTCTACAGCCACCACAACTACTTGGCCTTAATCAACATAAAAATGTCTTTATCTCAGTCTGTTTTACATACATTAAATGAAATGTCATGACAGGTGCTGGGTGATGTTTTACTGAAAGGCAAGGAAAAAAAAAAGGAAAGGCCTTTTATTCATATTAACCCCAATAATCTTGTCATTATTCTAATATGTATTTAAAAACACACACTATCAAGTTTGTTTCCATTTTTATTTGTGTTTATATACACATATAAAAAATAAGGAAATATGTACAATGGTAATAAATATCAACATGTTTTTACAAGTGAAATAAGTTACTTAACACATTTTAAAAACAGAACAGACATGTAACAAACAGGCAAAAAATGGGGAGAAAACAAAATCAGAAAATTCAAAAATAATAACCGTAGAAACCCAACTTAAAGCACTGTGTGAGAAAAATATTCCGAGCAAACAACTGAACTAAGGAACAGCACATAAATTACATTAGTCATGCATGGTGTTCAGGCTTGAGACTTGACTTTTAATTTATTGTTTTCAAATTGTTAAGAAAAGACAAAGCTTGATTGTAAAAGGGAGAAAAAATCAAGACATAACCAAGTACCAGTGTAAAGAGCTAATTTTCTTGTTTTTTAGCTTTCTGCCTGAAGGGATTTAAAAACTCTAAAGTGAACAAATTGTCACTGATTTGCTTAAAATCAGTAGCTTTGTATTTGGTTTTCAGGCGCTGGAGAGGAAAAACACACACACACACACGCACGCACACACACACAAAAAAAAAAACGTATAAAATTCAGCCTGTTTTTTTAATGTGGGGGAGGATAGAAAAGATCAGTCCAGCAGATCACTCTCGACATGTAAACAGGAAACCAACAGCAGCTCCATCAGCTTCAAGCCCATTCTAAACGCCGCTTCGCTTCAGGGGGAAGTTTAGCTGCAGATCAAATATGCAGGAAGCATGCTGACATCAGCTCTGTGTGGCAAAGTGGACGGATCACTGAGATTTCAAAGATCAATCTGGATTCATACAAAAAAAAAATTCTTTTGGAATTTGAACGAGAACAAAAGCAACTGCAGTCTACTTTGGCTTTTCCACAAAAAGGGCGAGGAGGCACAGAAAAAAGTAAACATGTTGAAATGCAGCCATGAACGTCTGTACAACTCTTGAGCCAACAACGTTGTTTTCTTTTTGTTTGTTTCATTAGTGTTGCACAACATTAGTGTCTGAAAGAGTCCAACATGATTAATCAACCAAGATGATGCACTTGTACAAGGATGATCAGGCTGTGAGGTGTGCGGGCCGACTGCACAGAGGGTCATGCAACAGTGAGCTTGGAGGAGCTGATGACCTCCTCAGCCTTGGGATTGTTTTCATTTTCTTCACCTCCCTCAGCGCTCGGCACACAGCGGGAACATAATAAGGTACTTTTGCCCTTTCCTTCATGCTGCGACTTCATCCTCTGATCTCCCCGAAAATACAATCGCACACGTCTGATGGACAAACGCACTGAAAGAGAACAGATTTATGTGAAGTTATTAAAAAGCAAACACATAAAGCATATCGTTCAAAAACATTAAATAGGAGAAAACTTTTTTTTTGTACCAAGGTGGAATACTTCCTGTTTTCCACACGATGAGGACAAATTGATTTATTTATTTAGTGGATCATATATAATTGTAATGCATATCACCCACCGCCTGCCAGACCAGTTTCAGACTAAGATCATCTGATGTTGTGGTTGTTTTGGTCAAACTTTGTTAATAGCGTTAGGCGGATCTCATCTACTGAGATATCACATTCAGAGTTTGTGTTGTGAATGACTCTTAGTTACCACCACATCTACTTTTAGCTAAAAATCGTCAWAACTGATTACGTTACAGGCATTTTTGTGTTTTGGTTGAGATTGATTAGCTGTGGCGGCCATCTTGACTTGCTCTAAAATGTAAACAGTTGTAGAAGAACATCCAACGATTATTTCCTGAAAGTTTCATTAAAAGCCTTCTAGTAGTTTGTGAGATAATTTGCTAACAGACAAACAAAGATGACTCTAAATACTTAATGGCGAGACTTTGCAAAAAGATCTTAWGCAATTTGTTAGCGTTCAAAATATAAGTTGGGGATCAGTCTCAGCTTCTACTGCACCAAASTTTAGGTCAGTCTCTGTAAAACTGAGTTATAGCCATTTTTTTATTTTTTGAAGTCAGCTGGCTGTGGCAGTCACCTTCAATCAAGTTGACTCGAAAAGGTTACCAGCTGTAGAAGTACATCATCTGATTATTGCCTGGAAATTTCATTATAAATTGTCTTGTGGTTCATGAGATATTTTGTTAACAGACAGATTCACAAACTCACAAACGGGCAAAACCAGAATTGTCCACCTCTTTCTTTTCTGCAGCAGGTGATAATTACATTTAGTGTAGATGAGAACTTGCAGCTATAGCTATAAGTGAAATCATTCAGTTTTGAGTGAGASTTTTCTATGAGTGTAACAAGAAGAAGATGGTTAATAAAGCATTGTTTCAGACAGATAAAGGTYTTTCTTGGGTCATATTTTGATGCTTGTCAGACTGGAACCTTCGTTTTTTTTTTTTTTTTTTAATAAAATGCTCCAGCTGCCAGCTTCAGGCTAAGTGTGGGCCCGTTTCTCATCATTTGCCAGGAAAGAAGCTTTTGTGATGCACCTGTCCCTCAAGGCTTTCACAGAGGAGAGCGCAGGAAAATCCTAAAAGTGAGGGAGGCTGGTGGAATATTGCAGAAAATAATAYATGATAAGATTTTGTGTCTGCAGTCATGGCAGCAGCTTCTAGTGAGGCTGCCCTATGGTTCTTCGACCTGTAGGACCTTAAATACTTCTTAAGGACCCCGGGAAATTAGCCATTGTTACGGCAATGGCTAATGGGGATCCAAATAAAATGAAAAAGAAAAAAATAAAAATAAAACACTAACACTAACATGCTAGCAATTATCCATTTACTACATGTTCAAAATAAACTTGGAATTTTAGTGTGTTGAGTTAAAAGATCTAGTCAAAAATTCAAATTCACCATCATCCAAAGTTAATTTAGAGASCACATTACCTACTACTACCTCAAATCCAAAATGGTGGCTTAATGTAATGAATAGCGATAGCTGCAGTAATAAAGTTTTTAACACTTGTGTTGGTGTTGTCGACTCCCGTATGACKTCATTTCCAGCTTTGAGTTCCAACTTTTAAGGTAAATAGAGCACAGCTTAGCGAAGCACGCTAATGCGCTAATTAGCTTTGCCAACTTCTGGGCTAACGTTATCTGAAAATGAACTGGGCTACTAACATTGTACAAACACTTCAGGTAGTATTTCACTAGGCAGTGACTGTTGGAGACTGGTTATGCAAAAGCTTTAGAGTCTCACTAAATTCTGAGTATGTGCAACCAAGTGATCAGAAAGATGTKCAAATATATAAAAACATGGCTTGCCATGCGCATTATTTCTTTGATCACCTTCAACCTATCACATCGGCTCACTTTGGCAATAGCCTCCATGTTTATGATTTCATTTACTTGTCTGAATTTTTTTTTAAAGATAGATGTAGACTAAGATTTTTTTTTTTATTGTTTATCATCTGTATGGTTTTTAAGCACAGCATAGCCTAGTGCTTTTGTAATGAGGTTAAAGATGCCTGTGACAAAATCAAGACAGTTTCGAGACGCCTTCAATGACTCTGAGTACATTTGTCRCACAAAATTCTGAAACTCAAACAAGAAAATGGTGGACCACCACAAAGGTTGAGAGATTCACTCGTGGATGTTGTCTACCATGCAGGTGCCGGTAGCCTAGTTTTGCGATAAGCTCCCAAAGTAGACTACCACTGTTTTGACAGACATTAAAAMGCATGCTTACAAGCTAGTACTACTGTCTTTTTTAAGTTTTCTAAAAAGTGGAGTCAGGTCCTCTGGATGGGTTCTTCTTTGTTGTAATATTTTTTCTTTCCTCTGAGAGACTTCTTCATTCTGATGAGTACATCAGGAGGATCCGGTGCCCCGGCACAAACAGAGCAATGTTGTATATGCTGTTAAGTGCCAGGAGGACTGCGACCAGTTATACATCGGGGAAACAAAGCAGCCACTGTTCAAAAGAATGTCCCAACACAGACGAGCTACATCTAATGGCCAGAACTCTGCAGTTTTYACTCATTTACAGGCCAGCGGTCACTCTTTCAGAGATGAGGATGTTCTCATTCTTGATAGRGAGGAACGTTGGTTTGAGAGAGGAGTAAAAGAAGCCATTTTTGTGAAGAAAGACCRTCCATCATTAAACAGAGGTGGAGGCCTCCGTTTTCAGTTGTCCCCCTCCTACAGTGCTGCTATTGSCAGTATCACTCCACCCCCTGTTAACAATAGGTGTTAATTAGGTGTCAACGATAGCCATGTGATGTGAGTATCAGTCACATGGAGGCAGKGCTTAAAAGCCTGAATTTTGCCTGAAACTCTCAGACTGAAGAAGTCTCTTGGAGGAGAGACGAAACGTTTCATTAGAGAAGAACCYGTCCAGAAGACCTATACAATTTTTTCTTTCRGCCTTATAAGCACTGCCTCTACATGGTGGACAAACAGGTTGGTCACATGCAAAAGAGGACCATCAGCCAATAGATTGTTAGTGCCTTGATTGGCTCTATTGTTCATCGAGGGTTATGTGGCCTATCACCTGACTATCATGACAGTCAGGTGGATGGTCAGCTCAGACTGAAGAAGACTCTTGGAGGAGTGACAAAACGTTTCATTAAAGTAGAACCCGTCCAGAGGACCTACTTTTTTTTCTTTTTGATTTCTCCACCTGGATTACTGAGATGCATCAGGACACATTTCTTAATACCTCATAATTATAGAAAAATCTGGCAGCTTCTAACTTCCTTCTCTAAATCGGCTCAGTTAYTGGAATGAATCGGGGGAGTTACTGAGCTACAAAAAAACACCTACCGTAACTTTGGTTGAGGGATGCGGTCTCAGATGTCATGGTTCTGTGTATTTATTGCTAAGAACAGGATTATATACACTGCAGACTCATCTGGTTCACTGTTGTCAGTTTAAATTTCCACAAAGATACCAGAAATATTCTTCATTGCAGTTTTGTTTCAAGTTAAGCCAAAACTCTAATTATCAGTAGTTTGAAACACTCACCTTTTTAGCTCCCTCTTTTTAACCTTGTATTTCCACACTATTGTGTTTTATTATCTTGTTATTTAACTTGTAAATAACTGATACCAAGTTTTCTTCTGAGTRTCAATACAGAGATCCAAAGTACCACCCGTGAAAACCAAGGACTTATTTTGTTACACTGAATGTCTCAGCAGATTTTGGGTTTAAGCAGGTAAAAGTTCACTGTCTGAGAGAAGTAATCTGATCCAGCACTATTATCAGAAGTACTGTGTAACCGGGGTTCTTCAGATAAGTGGTGCCAAGTTCAAAATTATAAACACYCTGGGCTGCATGAGCAAAAGGCTGCTGACAATGTGCAATGAACACCTTGAAGGGAAAAAAAATATAGGTTTCTATGCACTGTGCTGAGGTGTTAATTTCACCCATGACTCTCCTCTTCAAAGTGTTTCCTCATGAACACTTAAMTCAACATGTTCATGATGAAAGTGTACAAAAATAAAAAGGGTTCACAGAATCTTCCTGGTCTGCATATGTGCATTTATAGCATTTACTGCCGAAGGACAAAGGGCATAAAAGTTTCAGCCSGTTTTATCAACACGTCTCATGAACCACTGAATGGTTTTTAATAAAACTCTCAGATGTTCATCTATAACTGATTACCTTGCAGAGTCCATCAATTCAAGATGGCCGCTACAAATTACTGAGTTTAGAAAACCTAAAAATGGCTATAATGACTGCTACTCGGCTAAAATTTGATGTGATAGCAGCTGAGAGTCATCCCAACACTTACTCTAAGTGTTAACAGCTCATATGAGAGCTTTCCTTAAACTTTGGCATTAACTGTTAGAGTCAATACTGTCTGTCTGTTAGCAAAATATTGTATGAACCACTGTACAGTATTTAGTAAAACTCTCAGACAACAATCACTGAATACACATCTACAACTTGACACCTTATAATAATTTTTTCATGTTTTTCAGGAAACAATGAAAATGTAGTTCAGCTTCAGTCACACTCAAAACTTAGGCCATTATTTTAAGGCTTGAATCAAACTATTTGATCAACTGAGAACATAGGTGGTTGTACCACAGATGGGATGATTTAGGCAAAAAAGTTGATTTTGCTGAAAAATGACCTAGGCGATTATTTTAGGCCACCAGCCAGCTGCTTTTAGTCTTTAAACTGACTTAATTGGGTTTAACATTATACATTATCTGAAAGACATGATAGGTTCAATGTATCATCAGTTGTTTCACAAGTAAATTAAAAGTTTTCCAAAATGTTTTTTTAATGTAATATAAGTCATGTTTCACAAGACTGCCCTTGATTTAAAAACATTTGGAAAAAAGCAGAAGCATACCTTTCACTGGTTCATGGCTGCTTCCTCCTGGGTCCAGTAGTTCGTCATCATGGAAGCAATCAGTCTGTCTGTCGGTCCTTTCCTCCATTAACACTGTATTTGTGTGTTTCAAGACCCCAGTAACCCCAGTTCAGTCTCTGGGCATGAGTAAAAGGGAAGGGGGCTCCGTGAGGTCACAATCGCTCTGTAGTCCAGGATGGCTGGGATCCACAAAAATGTGTTAGAGTGGTAGTTTCCTTCTTGGCAGTGCAAGTAACCACCCTCATCAAACACATGAAAGATAAAGCACTTTACTGAGACATCCACAGCGGTCGCAACAACGAGGGGTTCATCTACATTCTCCGTGCCTAATGCCATCATGTCAACTTCAATTTGGAATTAACTGTGCAATTATTCTTCCGGCGCTATGAGCTGAATGCAAACAGCATTTTTTTCTTCTCCAGAGAGACGATCAAGCATTCAAAAGGTTTCAATCCAAACGAACGTCTGTTACACACTGTGACTCTAATAAGTGGCGTACAGCGTGCACTTGGAGCACAGTRGATCTGAAGGTCACCGTGCCGAACTGAGCCAAGAATAATGTAATGTTAAGCAGGTTGGCCCCACATTGTCTTTCACAGAGGTGAGCCATTAGTCACTTTCAAACCGTCTGAACACGGCTGTAGTCCTGGAGTCGGGAAAAAAGGAACAAGAAAAGTCCTCRTTCAAACCAACCATCACATTAAATTAAAGTCGAAGAGATTGAAGAACTCCTCCAGCAGTAAATCTGATGCGCGAGGGGGGGTGGGTTATAAATTGAGCAGAACAAAGTCTTAAGATATGGTCCTTCATTTAGAAAACCCTCCTCACAATCCATTCTAATGCATTTTTTTCCATTAAGTTTCCTCTTTGTCTCCTCTCGGATCTGTCCCGCACACAGCTCCTGCCACGGGGACATGATTGTCGTCTTGCTTGCAGAATAGTCTTTTTTTTTAAATAGCGCTCTCTCATCCTCCTGGCTCACGAGTACAAAAAAAGGGGAAGACTTGCTTCCAGTTTTTTTAAGTGCAGTAAGCAGAAAACGTCCCAAAGGGGACACAAAACACCGAATCAGGTCCATGTTTCCAGTCAGGTGCCCTTGTTGCTCACTGGCTTCACAASGGCAGAGTTCATTGTAGAAGAAATAAAAGGTGTCCCTCAGAAAACGAATAACACCATTTGTTGGTTTTCCATGCTTGAGGCCGTCTCGTCTGCGTTCACCCTTCTTAAAATACAAAATTTACACAAGTGGCAGTTGCACAGTGGAAGCAGAGAAAGCCACAACCATGACTGTGTGTTGCCCAAAAACACAGCAATTACAGGAATGCATGTTGGCAAACGTCGGTGTGTTAGTGTGTATTCAACATGCTGTGTGCTATAAATGTCAACGGAGAGCCAAACAGGCATTGGCAGAGTGAAACAGAGAGCATGGGCGCTAACAGCGTGTCACTAAAAGACAGAGAGAGCAGGCGTCCTCAGAAGGAGGGAGGTAGGTCGGTTGGTTTGCTTTTCCACCTCGGGCGATGAAGACGGACGAGCCTAGACGGACGACTCCTCTGGATTTGCGTCTGGCAGGACGCTTCTCTGTTGGAGAGTGCGTCTAAGCTCCTCCTTGAAAGGGCTGGAGTAGTCGTTCCCGCCCACGCTCAGGCCTCCGAGCCCGCCGCCCCCAGCGCCGGCACCGCTAGCCCTCTCCTCCCCCGCCGTGCTCAGGTTGAGGCGGATGTAGCCGTTGCTACCGGAGCCTCGGATGTTGGTGAGGCTGAGGCGGCTGGGGGAGTGGATGGGCTGGCCGGGAATGGCGCTGGGCGACGCCGTGCTGCTGACGCTGCTGGGCCCCAGGGCGTGTCCGGGAACGATCTTCAACGAGCCATCTGAGTAGTAGTAGTTGGCGCCCGTCTCCCAGAATCGGTCCTCGTCGCTCGGCATCTTGCTGGGCACGAAGGTGGGCGGCTCTTTGGGTAGGGTGATGGGGTAGACCAGGGTGCTCTCCAGAGGCTTCATGTCAGCTCCTTTGCCCAGTGCCAGCTTCAGCCTCCTGCGCAAGTAGAGCGCGACTACGAGAAGCAGCAGGCAGGCCGCTCCAAGAGTGATGACCAGCACCCAGAAGAGCCCCATGCTGCTGTCTGGGGCCCGGGCCTCCATGAACACTGGAGCGCTGGCAACCACAGCCACTTGGTAGCGYTCTGTCTGAAACTTGACGCCCTGCTCTTCCGAGTAGCAGATGTAGCGGCCCGCTTGCATCTGGCCCGCTTCGGGAACGATGAGAGCTTTGAGGGCTCGGTCGAAGCGTGGCCCCCCGGCTTCTGGATCGCCCAGCTGGAGCTCACGGTCATTGACGACCCAGAAAGGCTGAGCCAAGTTGGACACAAGCTGGCAAGGCAGCACCATGTCGGAACCCACGACCACTGTGACATTTCTCAGACGGGAATGCTCTGCAGAAGAACACGAGAGAAAGTAGACATAAGTCGAGGTTAGGTGGCATTTACAATAAATTAATTATGTTCTGCACTTGGCTCAATCCTAATGTGTTCGTCAAGTCCAGTTCCTGTCTCTGTCTTAAAGCTAATTTGCTCATGCACTGACAGTTGACTCCCACATGGGGTCACCAGTGAGGTATGGCCCCAAAACTCACCAGGACTAGGGATAGAAACAGGCTTATCAAACTTGGCTTTTCCACGACTGAACCTCTCGAGCATGAGGTCCTGTGAGAGGGAGGAGGTGGACCTGGACACGAGGAAACAATAAAAAGATTTGCAGAAGGAAAGAATTTAAAACACATTTCCAAACTAACAAGGTAATGTTGGACATGATACATATTACTCAAACACTGTTTTAAAGGTTTGTTAAGTTCCGGTATATAAGCAGGTTTAGCCCTATCAAAGTTGGAATAAATGATCGAGGGCAGGTAGGTACTTGTCTCACCCTCGGTGGAGGTCGATGCGGACACAGGCCCGGCCCTCGTTGTCCCATGCACAGTAGGGGTCCCTGGCAAGCAGGCAGTCTGGCTGAGACTGATAGCGGCTGCAGTTGGCCAAGGGCAGCTGGAGAACCTCGGAACGAGAGCCGATGTACAAGTACTTCTACAGAGAAACCAAGAGAAAGGGAAGAAGACAAAGAACGCGGCCAGCCATCCAGTAGAGACAGAAACCAGAGAGAGACAAGGCAGAAGAGGAAAGACAAACAGACAGAAGAGAGACTGAGTTATGTGTTAGAGGAGATAATGGGATAATCACTCTCAATTACAATAACACACACCCTCGACCCTCCTCCAATCCAATCTGGTTTACAGCCTTCTTTTGCAAAAGCTGCTGTAAAATATGTCTGGTCGCGACTAAGCCCACATTAATGAGATAAGCAGTGGGCTTTAGTGTTGAGAATGGCCCAATCAAAGCTCATCGATCAGTGGACAAGCCGCTGTTGATCCACTGGGACACGGCAGCACGCAGGCTGAGCTGACGGAGCAGAGAGGCTGAAGAAGCAAAGGGGCAGGGGTTCAATTCCCTGCTGAGCAGGGGGCCTGTAATCACTGTGATTATGAAGGGGAYCCTTAGTTTTATGAGGTAACGCTTRAACTGAAAAAGGGCAGCACTGATGAAAACATTTGGTTTGTGGTACCAGGAGAATTGTCCTGTGTTAACCTACAGCTTGTTGTCAGTGGCTGACAATTATAGATCCACTGACATAAGGGCAGAAACGGATCTACTTAGTGTAAGACGGAATGACTCTGAGCATAAAATATGACAAAACATAACTCTGAACTGCATGCAAAACTATTTTGGTCGGATGATGTAGTAGAAGAAACCAAACACACAATAAAGACTTTATATAATTATCGCCCAATTTGCCTGTGTCTGTTACCTAAAATATCTCCTAACCACTGAACAAATCTGAACAAAACTTGCAGAAAGTAATTGTTGGAGGTACATCTACAACTAGGGGTGTCCCGATATCTTTTCTCAAACCAAATACGAGTACTTCAGTTTGGGTACTTGCTAATGCCAAGTCCTGAGTACTTACTGAGTACTTACTGATTTAAAACCCAAAGATTACAATACATAAAAACACATTTCTTTCATTTAGAACAAGGTGGCTCTCCATTTTTATAGGCCTACAGCCCCTCTGCATTGAATAAATCAAATATACAGCATGATAATGTATACTGCTGCAATTTAAAAAAAATAATAAAATAAGATTTTCTTTCAACTTGCATACGTTTTTTAAACATGGAACTGACAAACATTTCACTTGAAATGTAAACTGTAACACATTCAATGGAGTATCAATACAAGTATCCTGGGCTTGATACCAGTATTTTTATATTGATAATGGTACTGGTATCAGTTCTGAGTATTAGGGCATTTTGTGCAAGTACAGAACGATAGCCGCCACAGGCAAATGTRTCAGGAAACACAAAACTGGCTAAAATTTGTTGTGTTAGTAGCTAAGACGGATCCAACAACATATACTCTGAGCACTTACGGATTGCGTGACATCCTAACCTAAACCACAGATTTAAATAAAACTTTCAAAWAGTATATCAGTTTTATAGATATTCAGCTAAAATTCGATGTGGTAGTAGCTGAGAGTCATTCAAAACATTTTTTTATGACAGTGCTAGGAGATCATGCAAGATTTTACACAAGATTGCACGTTATTTTTCAGGTTTGACCAACTCCATAACTTGTCAGCATAAAGTGATCTTTGTTTAAAACTCTAGCATGAAAGGCGCTGAGTGACATGAAGTCATTGAAGGAATACTAGGCCATTAATTTTAAAGCCCCCACCCCGAAGACTTCCATTTCTTATGTTTCATAAAGAAATGAAAAATGTCACCTGTCAAGTTCCATAGAGATAGTAAGGCCAGACGGGGCCATGGGAGCAGCTGGACGCTCACACTAAATCTGAGCATATTCTTCACGGCGGCAGGGATTACAGCTTCTGTTTTGTTGTAAATCAGTCCATGTTTAGAACTTGATGAATGTGAAGTGTTTTCAATTGACGGCAATTTTCTTTATGGGTCAACCTCTGAAAATGACGAAGTTTATGGTTTTGTTACATCTCCCCTGTGCGCTCACAACTATCGACAAGCTTTTTCAGAGTTGACGAGGACCAAAGACGCGGAGCTCGGTAAATCATTTCCCCATGCAGAGCTGTAAGTATTGATCGTCGCGTGTACACGTGAGGCGTCTCAGATGAATCCAGCGCCTGCTTTCTTACCTTGGAGTGGGAGATGGTCAGGCTGTCCACGGGCCGGGCTGAGTCAAACAGCTGGATCTCCTCGATCACGTGGGCCTCAGAACCCAGGATCACCACCCTCTGCAGCCAGCCCTCCGCTGCAGCACAACCAGGAAGAGGAAGAAAAAATGAGCTCATTTCACAGCTGTTCCTTTCACTCAAACATTAAATCCAAGTTTATCTTTATGGGATTAACATCCTCCCTGTTCCCTCCATGTAGCATTAACAGATTATTTCATGAACACTGGATAAGAAAAAAAAACCACTGGATATATATCTGCAATTAGCTTTGGAGCCAACATCTTTTAAAATGGCTGTCACAGCCAACTAAACTTGTCCAGAACTCAGTCAGTTTTATTTTATTGACCAAAGGTTTGGTGGGGTAATAAATGAGATTAATTCCCAACACATATTCTGAGTGTTAAAAAAATCGCAAGATATTTGTACCATTGAACATGTTTTAATGAAACCTTCAGGATATAATCACTGATTGTACATTTACAACTGATTTACTTTTGGAGCCAACTTGAKTCAAAATGGCCACCTTAGCTAACAGATATTAGAAAACACAAAAATGGCTCTAATTCAGTCAGTTTACCAGATATTGGGTTAAAATTAGGTGTGGTTGTAGCTGAGAGTTGTTCCCAAGAAATAACTCAGGTGCGACTTGTGTGAAAGGGTTTTTGGCCTAAAACTTTAATGTTAAGTTTTGGAGTTAACTTTGTTTGTCTGTTTGCAAAATATCTCATGAATCACTGGACGTATTCRAATGAAACCTCCAGAAAGTAATCAATGGATATAAATCTGCAACTGATTAGATTTTTTTAATTAATTAAATTCAAAATGACTAGTCAGTGATATGAATAAACAAAATAAATTTGAAGTGGTAGTAGCTGAGTCATTCACACACGTTTGGAATGTTACATCTCACGATCAAATGACATGGCACACAGTATTTTCACACTCGTGGCAGCACATCGGTTCACTGGTATAAAAAAATCATATTTTGAAATAACTTGAATGCACGAGAGCAATCTGCAGCAACTGCAATTTATTTTTCTTTAATGGTCTAATAAATTCAGAGATGCCAGCAACAGCGAAGGAGGTTATTTAAATAAAAATGGCAAAAAATATGCAAAACCTTTGATTTGACGCAGATGTGAAATGTGAAACCATCACCTCTGTGCTTTTTAGTGTCTCTTTCTGAACTTGGTGTTAAATAATGACYGACTGCCTTTGCTCCTGTACCTTTGCTTCGTGCTGTCCCTCTCAGAGCCTCAAGTTCTCCCTCCCATTAAGTTTAAGGTCTGTTTCGCAAAAAGTCTGCCGCAGTGGGAAAAGCAGAGGTGAAACRAGCAGAGCTAATCACGTTTGCTCCGTGGAACTGCACCGGAGAGTTATGTAAATAAAAAAAAGGCTCAGAAATTATTTAATGTTATTCATTAGAAGTGTGAAAATTGTAAAAAAATATATGATGTCTGCTCAGAAAAATCACATCCACGACGAGGGGAGAAGRCCAGTGCTGTATGGAAATGGAGCAAACACGCATAAACAGTTTCAAGTTTTCTGCAACTTTTATCCGTGTCGGGTTTTGAAACTTTAATGTGAGCTCGACTAAAATTTCATGCTGCTGTGCTGCTGAGCAAGACGAGTAAACAGCCTGTCATCTTTGCTGAGCTCCACAGCAACAAACTATTTAAAGGTGATTTTAAAAGAACGGAGATGCTGCTCCTGGCCTTTCCGTGCCCCGAGGAACAGGAAGATCATCTGAGAMAGACCTTTTTTTTTCTTTCCAAGTGGTGCACGAGCAGCTGATGCTGGGGGAGGAGCAGGCAGAGAAGACCTGTTTTCTTACAGAGGCTCTGAGAACAAGTTTAGATCCCCGGTGATGAAAAACGTTGGAGGCGCAGCTGGTGGGGTGACCTTGATGTGCACTGGTGTACGGAATAGTGTTTACGTGCTGAAACGCGCTGTCTTGTGTGGTCATGGTGATTAAGAGACAGTCACGGAAAATATGAAAAACCTGACCCAGCAGCCGAAGGAAGGCTCCATGAAGACACGCACACGCACACGCACAAGCACACGCACACGCACACGCACACGCACACACACACACACACACACACACACACACACACACACACACACACACACGGACGCATCGAAAGCAGCAGGCATATCATCACGCTCCCGTCTCGCAGCGTCAGAGCCCAGTGTCAGCTAATCCCTCAATCCTTGCAGCCCGGTTCTGCTGAAAAACCGTCTCTCGACAAGCCCTCCCTGTTTCCCTCGCTCTCCTTGCACATCAGCTGTCGCCGCACTGCAGCTAATAGCTAATCAAGCCAGGAGCCCAACTGGCGCTACGAGCGCACGCCTGCCAAGGGCCCTGTTGAGTTTGTGCTGCGAAGCGCGACAAGCGGGATGAYTGCGCTTGGCTCGACGAGTGTTAGCGCGTGCACCTGTGTGTGTGTGCGTGTGTGTGTTGTAGTGTCTGGATCGGCCTCCCCGGCTTGGCAGCGGCGAGGTCTGTGGTCCGCTGTTGTCACGCTGTCAGTGTTGTCCCAATCACGCCGCAGACGCAGCGATCTGAATGGAAAGCAGTTGAGGCCCCTCCTCGTTCAACGGATGGGACCGTTCCCCTGAAATCCGCCGTCAGACCCGTGTCTTTCAGGATTAGGTCTCTGGGAGCACGGGCCAGAACAAGACATTAGCATACGGGCCCTACGGCTGCTGACCGGAGATACTAATTAAGTTGCACATAGATAAGACGTTTCCCTTGATGCATGGGGAAGGATCTCAGCATGCAAATCAAGCCCTTAATTGAAACCCAGCTGAAGTCTGGCCAGATGGCATGTTGTTTGTGTGCCACCACTCCTAATTCCAGGAGCTGTCCCTGCCTGCTGCCACGGCCTGTAAGCTCGTTCCTCTCTAACAAACACTGAGCRGAACTTCCCTCAACTGACAACAATAAGGTTTAAAAAGGAAGACACTGAAAATTAACAAGTGCAACTTACAGACCCAACTGTACAAAGGATGGAATTTGACACAAATTAGAACATTTTTCACCTCTCATAAACCTATACTTTTAAAACAATAAAACCTGTTAAATGGACTAAATGTTTAAACTAACAAACGGTACAGTTTTTATGAAAAAAAGGCAGCATAGCAGCAATACATCTCATAAAAGTTTGAACAGGGCCAACTAAAAACTGTAAAAGTAAGTGGTACAAATATGAAACAGCTGGAGGAGCATTGTTAAATGGTAACAGGTTATTAASAAGACTGGGTATAAAGAGAGTCTAAACCTTTAAGAAGTAAAGATGGGCAAAGGTTCACCAGTCTGTTAAAACCTTTCTAAAACAGTGGAACAATTTTCAAAATGTTTGTCAACAAAAATTTGGAAGACTTTGAATATCCCATCACCTAGAGTTCATATTATCATAAAAGAAACAAAGAATGATAAATCTGTGTGAACAAAACACAAGACTAAAAGTCAATATTAGGTGACCATGTTTTTAGGGCCCTCATGGGACACTGCATTAAAAAAAACAGTTCAGATTCTGTTATGGAAATCACTGCACGGGTTCAGGAAAACTTAAACAAATTATTGTCAGTAAATAAAGTCCTCCAAACCATCCAAAAATGCAGGTCAAAGCTCTATCATGCAAAGAAGAAGCCATTCAGAAATATCACCTTCCTCTCTGGGGCAAAGTGGAAAACTTTGATTGGAAAAATTGATGGTTTCTTCTTAGAAACCATCAATGTCAAGTCCTCCAAACTAATAAATAGAGGGACCATCCAGCCCGTTGTTAGCTCACAGTTTAAAAGCCTGCCTTGCTGATGATATGGGGCTGCATTAGTGCCTATGGCATGGGTTGTTTACTTATCTGGAAAGGCACCATCAGTCCTGGCCTGACTGTAGTTCAGATCTGTCACCATTGCAAACATTTGATGCATCATGAAAAAATATATATAAAAAACCAGCAAAGAAAACCCAGAACRATCTTTCATCAAACAAGATTGGGACAACATTCCCTCCAAACCCTCCAGCAGCTGGTCCCCTCAGTTCTTCCATGTTTACAGACTGGTGTTAAAATAAGACGGGATGCTTCACAGAGGWAAACATGGCCYTGTCTCAATTTTTTTTCTTCTTCCATCAAATTCCACATTACTTTAGTTTATTTTGTCCAGTTTCTCAGTTTAAACATTTGATGTGTCATGTTTACGTTTTATTTACATTTTACACCGGTAAAATGCATCTCAGTGGTTTTGTACTTTCTGCCATGTTAAAGCACTGCAGCACAGCCGAAGAGCCAAATAACAGAGATATTCCACATCGTCATAACTGTGAGAATAATAATAAAAAAGATTCCAGCTTTAGCCTAAGTCTATCATAGTTAACTTATTCATGCACAGTACACAAAGGAGATGATTTAACACGACTGCAGTTTTAAAGCTGGAGAACAGGATGTTCTCTGACCTGTGCTGCCTTTAGAGGAAAAATGTCTTCATCTGTAACTAGAAAGGACCTTTTATCAGCATGTGCAGCCATGTAAACAAGTTCAATTATTGGTAACTGTTGCTTCGGAGACGATGAATATTAACTGTGTTTAGTGCCAAAGCAAATAAGGAGGTCAAAGCAGAAAAACAAAGAAAAAGCAATTAGCTGAACTGAAACAKCTGAATGTTTTCATCCCAAGTTTGATCCATAGATACTTTTTATTATGTATGTAGAAATGTCACGCTAACGTCTGATGATTCAAGACTGAAATCACTTGAAGTTTAAGTAATTTATTCAGAGACTTCAGATAAAATGTCACCGTATTGGAGCCATTGCTTGAAAAATAAAACACKGAGCAGCTGAAAGGGTGACTTAAGTCTAAGTGCTGAGCCGAAATGTCACTCKAAGACTAATAAATACAGCGGGTAAAATAAGTATTGAACACGTCACCATTTTTCTCAGTAAATATATTACTAGAGG